AGAACAGATTTTTGGATGTAGTTTTAGTATGCATGCGGTGGAAATTGTCAAGGTTTCTCCAATGTCCAACAATCTCCGAAAATCGAAGTATTTTAATAGAGGTGCATGTATACTATGGAGTGGGTAAATATTAAAAGTAAAAAAACCAATCCGTCATAATAATGGCTTTAAAGTTATACTATTAATGGAGAGCATTTATTGCGCTGTAATTATTGCATTTCGCCTATGCACTGGCACTCGAGGCACCATGTTCTATGAGAATTTAATTGTTGCTGAACTAACATTAAATAAAATCTAGCAACCGTATGAAAGGGCAAATTAGTAGAGTACCGATAAATGTAAGATGTAACCAAACGAGTTGAACAATGTGAAGTCTATCTCAAAAATGCTTCAAATGAAGCCTGACGTAGGGTAATCTAGTAATGGATTCAATATGACCAAAGATATTTGAAAACATTGTCCGAATATCCAAAAGTAAATGCTGACAGTTAAAAAGACTTTAAATTTGAAATATGGTGTTATCCAAAAATCAACCAAAAATGGAACTATTTAAAAATCCAGTTAAAAGGAAAAGTAAACAATACCTGAAGACCCTGTAACCGGCAACACAGGTCCCTTATTTCCATGCGCAATTTGGAGGTCTTTTGTACATGAACAGCATTAAGGCAATTGAATATGGAGGACATGGCCCTGCGAATTGTGAGCAAGGAATTGGATGAATCATGAATGCCAAAAAATTGCGCAAAAGCGACATCAGAATCGGATTCAAAGGAAGCTTCTACTTTGGCAAAGGCGGTATTAGTCCAAGAGCTATCAGAGTTTTTGGTCGAAGACTCAGGCGATTCAATTTTATTTCCGGTTTGAAGCATGAAACTGTATAACTCTGGGTAGGTGTTGCGCAGATCATGCAGCGTAAGAGCATCTCCGAATAGATCTTGTGCCCCGGAATCACAATCAACTAAACCAAAAGATAAGGAAAACACAGAATTTGACATACATGTAATGTCAAGATAAATGTAAATCAGAAGCACAAAATAAGCAGCTCTTACTAAAAATAAGAATATTTCAGTTGAAACAATTGTGAAAAACTCGCGGTCTCGGTGGGAGTCGAACCCACAAAGGAGGGTAGGCTTTTGCGCAGCCAATGCTCTACCATTGACCTACGAGGCTCATCATGACTGAACAGGTCAACTGAAATTATTGAAATCTGCCAATCCCCTAACAAATACGAATGGTAGAAGAAAGAAGAGCGTTCACTGGGAGAGGTTTATTATAAGCCTGACGTTACGAATGTCTTCGGAAAGTTAATAAAATTAAGATAACCTGTCCAAATCGCATCCAGATTTTCACTAAAATTTTATTTAAAGCCTTGGGAAACGTTTCCAACCCCAAAAGTTCGAGCCAGACACAGTTTTTGTGGGCCCCTATCTCCCCTTGTAGCGGAGGATGTGGTTTCTGAATATTTTGTAGGCGGCCCATAGTAATCTTCATAATTCCAGATGAACATATAGAAGTCCGAACTTGCTTCGTTTATTAAACACACCATTGAACTTCAATCGTCAGTAGATTGGTGAGCATATTTTAAAACATACTTACTTTCCAACATACTGGCTGTCCAATGTGCACAATACTTAATGTTGGAGAAAAGCTAAGCTTCAGAAAAATAATTAGTGGTTCTTATCTATCAAGTAAAGTGTGCCTCGTAGATGATACTTCTAGCTTTACTTGTATGCCCCTTTTCGCCTCATTCTTCTTGTTTTGAACTTGCTTTGTTCCAAACAGACTATCACAGGTGAGACATTAAGTTTGAACAAATTGCGGACAGGACGACAACAATTCGATGTGCAAACTTACAAATCATTTGTCGATCAAAAATAAAAATGCTAAATTACTAGCCACACCGATATGACCGAACACAATCAGCCTGCTGCTCTTCTCGATAAATAACTAGTTATTTCCATCCTGGACAACATGTAGTCATATTCTATTACTGTGTGTATCTTTTGTTATCGTCAGTACCGAGTGTTCTTAAGCGTCCCTTGAAACACATGGCCCCGCCATGAAGGCGGGGCTCAGAAGGGGCCAGG